CACACCAGCAAGGCAGTTAAGAGTAAGATATAACAAACCAACATACATTCATTGGCTTTTACAATATTAATAATGATTATTTAAGCCTAAATCTCAATTATTCTCTTTAACTTGCGATATATTCATGTAACTAATTAGACCATTAAATATTCAATGGCTATATCCCAATGAAACAAGGCCAATCAAAATTTAACCTTATTCCTAAGAAAATACAGAAGAAAATCACATACAGGTCCTTTATCCTACAATATCTATATCCTATGTAAATAGTGATAGGGTTCAAAATGACGGTTAAATAATATACAGGATATTATTGTACCCATAGGTCTAGTGATTGCATATGTGGTTGAGATGACGTGGTTCTGAGTTCATATCTCGGAATCAATATATAAATATATGATAAAAACAATGAAATTTTAGAAACAGTTAGTTTTTTAGGGTTCCGTGTCCGAAAGGTGCCAATGGAACCCTATTACTAAGCCTCCGTTGTCCGTCCGTCCGTCTGTCAGAGGGCCTCTCTCATCTCATAAACCGTAATAGGTAGAGAGTCGAAATTGTCACAGAGTATGTATTTGTATTGCCGCTGTCACAATAAATAATAAAAATAATAACTAAAAATGCAAGCAACATTTTTTTACCGTTCGTAATCGATCATCGAAGTTAATATACTACATACATAGAGTAAAAGTCATATTAATAAAAAGTACATGTACGATGGTACCGAACCATTCGTGTGCGAATTCGACTCGCACTTGTTTATTTTATATAGATAAATAAATTCTGTTCATATAAGTTATCAAATATGAATCAAAAATCCAAATAAAACGTTAAAAAATATCGAAAATAATATTTTATTAAAAAGGACAAATAAACAAATGACTGATTTTTTAAGGTTTTATTAAGAAAATGTGTGGAATTTCAACCACTAGGTGAACAGTAGTATATTAAATTGACACTATTCTGTTTATAAATTGACAGCTTTATATGTATAGCGAGTGATATCCTAGTGGTAAAGCGCTCGCTTGGGAAACCGAGTTAAGCCGGTTCAAGTCCCGGGTCTCGCACCTCTGATATTTTCATTTGCGAATCCTTTTCCAATACGATTACCACTTGTCTTACGGTGAAGGAAAACATCGTGAGGAAACCTGCATATCTGAGAGAACCTTGCAAGTTTGCAAGACATGCTCAATTCGTCTCGCACTCGACCAGTGTGGTGGACTGAGACCTGATCTCCCTCATATTGAAGGGAGGCCTGTGCTCAGCTGTGGGACGTTAAAAAGGGCTAAATAATATGTACTAAATACTAACAATTTACCGTTGCTTTGCTTGGGTGCTTACCTAGATGCCTAACTTTAGCTAGTAAAGTAACTTAATTGCCATTTTTCCTACTTCAATTAAAGTTATTATAATTTCTCACAATTTACACATTTTTATTGTAACAAAAAATAACCTATATCACTCGGCGGTAATGTAGCTTGCTTTTAGTGAAAGTATTATCACAATCGGATCAGTGGTTTCAGAGATTACCCCATACATACGAACTTACACACCTTTATAATATTAGTGTATTTATAAGCTACAAAATTAATTAATACAGAATCTGGCTATGTTTTTTTTAATTGAATTATTTTTATAGGTGGGAAATTTTGATTAAAATCTTCTCTTTCACGTTGAAATGCCTGGAAGAGTTTGTATGAAATTTAGTACACAGATAGACTATGAGCTGGAATAGCATATACGCTACTGTTACTGTTAGTAATAAATTTTGCCAATAGGTGGCGCTGTTCACATATAAATTATTTATTTATTGAATAAGGCTTACCAACTAGAGTACATAAACAAACTTAATTACTAAAATAACGATGACCAATTTCCTTTTTTTGTATATTACTCTAAATTAAAGGCAAACACAACATTTTATGACTAGGTAATACATAGGTAAACAATTTTATAGTTTGAATATTAAAAAAAAATACATACAGATAATCTATAAATATAATAAAATTGTAACCAAGCCGAATCTGTAGTGTATCTGTTGGTCGATGCAAAGCAAATCTAATATATTTCGATACGTAAAATACATATTTAGCTATTAGATATTTATATCTTAAAATATTGTCGGCTGGCACCGACTTGGAAGATATCTGATTAGGTATCTATCTATTCTAAATGAAAACCTCCGTTTAGTTATTTTGTTCATTTTAGTGCCTGGAAGTCGGTATTTTTTTTTTAAGTTTTTATTCTCCATTTTTAGTGTAGACGTAATAATAAGCAGGTAATTTGTAAGAAGAAAGTTTTTTAATAACATATTCGATTAAACAATTTATTTAAAAAATTTATTTATTGTTGATTATTTAAAAAACCGCTCAACTGATTTCGATAAAATTTATATGGAACTACCTGGGAAGTATACCCTTTGAAACAAAAAAAATCCAAGTCGGTTCAGGCTTCTTAGAGTAATCGGTGAACATACATAAAAAAAAAGATTCCGACGAATTGATAACCTCCTTCTTTTAGGAAGTCGGTTAAAAAGGCATAGCGAGCGAAGCAAGGGTGAGTCACTAGTTAGTAAATGTAGCCTTTATAATACATGATTGTTAAAAACAGAACACAACCGTGTAATGAAAAGTAAATATTAAAAGCAGCTGCCCTAAAACAACAACGTATAAAGCAAGAACGTAATATGTAGAGTTAGGTAAAATTATGTTAAATATTATATAGTTAGTTATTTTTCATGATCATCTAAAATTGTGGTGTGATTGTGTTTCCATAAAGGAGGGCTTGAAGGGGCGTGGGTTCGATTCCTGATTGTGATATTTATATTGACTATATATAGGTTCATTTGCGATTTACCCTCGTACCGCTTGGGTGCCTAACAATAGTGTGTTAATGAATATTGTGTTAATATATTCTTTCGTATTCAACCCCTTTTAACGTCCCACTGCTGGGGGTGGGCCTCACTTTTGTAGTCTTTCTGTCTGTCTGTTTGTTCCGGATAATCTGTGAAACGGCTGGACTGATTTTGATGGAACTTTCATTGAAAGATAAGTAATGTTATAGGGAATAACTTAGGCTACTTTTATTTTAGAAAAAGAATTAGGGTTCCACTCAAAAAAATTAAAACTTACCTAGGGACTAACCCGAGCGAAGCGAGGATGAGTCGCTAGTTTTATAATACTATTATTTGCCTTCATGTTTAGTTCTATAATACTCTGTCTATATTATTCCTTACTCTGAGTTCATAAAGTACAGAGTAAGTGCGATCTATGAGTCTCGCCTGCGTGTGACATATGTATGTAATATGTATTACACACCCCTACGTTTTGGGGGCTATTTAATAGAAAAAATGGACAAGTGCGAGTTTGAATCGCACACGAGGGTTCCGTTGTATGAAAACATTAAAATAATTCATATTTTTTTTGTAATATATTTAACTAAATATTTACGGTTTTCGGATTTTGCTCTTTACTTGTGCTATGAGATATTGCTTTTTGCCATATTTCGTGATTCTAGGTCAACGGGAAGTACTCTATAGGTTTTGATTCTCTTGCGAGTGTCAACATATGCGGCTTGAACGGCGGTATCTTTTGATTGTGTTGACTTAGAAGTTTGATTTTTTCCACAGTTATAAAGGATTGCGTATTTGAGTATTTGATATTAATTTAAACTTGATACATCGACGCGTTCCTGAGATAAAGGGTATTGACAAACAGACAGACGGATAGACGGACGCATAACGAAGTGATCCTTTTTGGAGGTATGGAACCCTAAAAACGAGCTAAAATAAAACGAAAAGTAAGTAAGATATATTAACCATTATCTTTCGCACGCGATTTCACTCGCTTGGTTATAATTAGAAAAAAAATGTAGTTATCTCATGGACTTGTCAAAACTGACATATAATAAAATTCTAACTAAGTCAAATCTGTACATTAAATATTTTTTGGGAAATCTAATTAAAATAGACGTTATTATCGATACAGAGTCCGAATCTATAGTTTTTAGAATTTTTGTCTGTCTGTCTTTCTGTATGTCTGTCTGTTACCGCATCACGAGACCATTGGACAGATTTTGATGATATTTGGTATGATGATAGCTGGTTATCCGGGTCACTGCCTCGGTGGTGTAGTGGCTAGCATGTACGGCTGCACACCCGGAGGTCCTGGGTTCGAGTCAAACTGGGTTCGGGTCGGGCCAAGTTTAGTTATTGAGTCTTTCTGTATAGTAAGTCTCAGTAACAGCCCGGAGTTGGGAAGTTGGCGGTGTTTTACCCCCGTGCCTCGGAGAGCACGTAAAGCCGTCGGTCCTGCGCCTTAACTCTCACCGGTCGTGTCGAGTGGTCGTCCCACCGGAGTATGAAAGTGATAGGAATAGAGAGTGCACTTGTGTCTGCGCGTACACTTGAGCACTATAATATCTCCTGCGCAGTTGGCTAATCTCAATGAGATTGGCCGCCGTAGCCGGAATCGGCTAGGAGAACATCATCATCATCCGGGTCAACATATAGGCTACTTTTTACCGCGGGAAAATATCTCATTTCTGAGAAAAAATACAAAAACACATAAACTGCATTGTAAGAGTATACTAATATGTAAAACCTAAGACAAATTCTTCGTTTTTGGTCATCTGAACGCGGGCGGAGCTGCGGGCAATGCTAGTTTAATATAAAAATTATTATTCAAAAGTGACCAGCGTGATGGACTATGGCCTGATCCCTCTGAAATTAAGGGAGGCCCACCTCCAGCAGTTGGACGTTAATGAATGGAATATTTTCCATGTATAGCTATTTTATTTAGAAAAATGTATTTAACATTAAAAGAATTCATATTTAGAGAAAGAAAGCAGTGAGTGTATTGATATTTTTTATAAAACGTTCATTACAATTTTTGTTTAACATGTCACTGCCTTGAGGCATTCAAATTATTTTCAATGTATATTATATTATTTTTGCTAATATATTATTATTTATTTTAATGTGTTTGTTTATTTTTGTACTATTAATTTGCCTTTGCTTTGCTTAGGGTCGTTTTGCCGGGGGAGGTTCTGTTGGGTTTGGGTGGACAGTACTGATTTTTCTTGCCGGTGAGTCCCACATATCCTGTATGTACATGTCGGAGACGAGACGAGTCATAATCACAACTAATCGGAACGCGAGCGCCACCTTTTTGGGCTCGACAGAGTCTACGTCGTGACACTCGACCGGGCTCGGCGGAGTTACGCTTGATCGGTCGCGCAGTGAACATTAATAGAAACTGTCTTGCGTTCCGTATTGTCTATACGTGGTAATAGTGAAGTGAAGTGCTATATGGTTGTGTAGTGAAGTGCTGTGTAACTATGTACAAAGTGATTATTGTTAATTTGAAATACTACTTTGATTGCATCGACTTTTATTTGAACCAACACTTCCCATATAACGCCCACTGTGTAATTCATGATTAAATAATGGAAAATAATAGAGAAAATTAATGCTGCTTCGATATACATAATTCATGCAGATATTATATCTACTCATATATTTAATATCTATGCCAATATTATCTTATATGTATATATATATATATTGCGTGTACCTCGAAAACGGCTCTAACGATTTGGATCAAATTTTGTATTTAGATAAGGTTTTGCTTTTTAAGTTTATCTATATAGCTGTCTTTTGTTAAAACACCCGGTTTTATAAAAAAAAAAACGCTTAAAGAAGCTCGGTCAACAATTAAAGGAAAATTTTGTACGTTTTTATTAATCTCTGAAACTACTGATCCGACTCTGAAAATTATTTCACTAATAGCGAGCAACATTACTGCCGAGTGCTTGTCGGCAATTTTTTTTCTTTTTCGTTTTCAGACCTAAACGGTTTGAAATAAAGCAATAAATAAAATATTTTGCAAAAAAACACCTGGTGACTGAGCGAAAAGAGGATTACGTCTAGCGATTTTCATATATAAAAGAGAAATACCGCTCATTGATTAATCATGAAATCTCAGAAAATGCCATACACTTGAAATTTGGCAGGTAGATTTCTCATAGGGAGTATTCGCTAAGCAAGGGTTTTTGAAAATTCAACCCTTATAGGGGCAAGGGGTTGGAACTTGGAAGTTTTTATGAAAATCCGTTATTTTAACACGGTCTTAATAAGAATCGTAGAAATTGACTTCATCGGGAAGTGAACCAGCTACCCTCTCCCAGAGACCATACTACCTATATATCTCATAGGGTTGATTGAAAGGTGAATTGAATTGAACCGTTCATGGTTTTTGCTAGTTGCTTATTGATCGACACAAAGATGCCACTCATAAATTATGCGTTTGAATGTACGTTTATGGCTTAAGATGTAAGCTTAAAGATCACTGCGAGATTTTTTGATAGCTTAATATAACAACTAACGTCGGATTTTTAATTTGACAGAATTCTGACATTTCAGAAATGTTGTCAGCTTTGAAACATTGTCACTAAAAACGGAAAGCATTTTAGCAAAATAAAAAATAAACCTTTCTTGAATTTAAGGTTTCAATTAGAAAAACTGAGACTTAAAAAATTATTGATTACTCTAAAATGGTAATTATTTTTTTTATTATCATATTGTTGAAGTTACAATAATTATTAAGGAAATTATTTTTCTATTACAGGAATCCAGTCCAGTCCAATAATACATAGGTTACAAGCCTTTTTTAGGAATACCTCTTTGTTTGTAAAATCTTTGCAATTGGGAAAAATAATTGGAAAGTCCCAAAAAGACAGGTCCACAACGATCGTTCACGATTTTTTATTATTATTTTTGGCAAGAATGCATAAATCATATTATAAAAGAAGATGATAAAATGTGCCCTCTTAATGATCTGATGGATAGTGTGTGTGTGATTCTTTTATAATACGAGTGGATGATGATGACGACAATGATGATATAAGTAATAATGATTGATAAATATTTTCATTTCTTATATTTTGTTTTACTCTGTCTTTTTTCATTTAACCATTAAAAATTTACATTATAGTTAGTGTGCATTGAATTCACAAAACAAAGACTATTTACAATGTTATACATGTAGTTTACTTGATCTAATTCTGTTTCATATTTTTTGTTATTTTATATTAAAAAAATTCTAAGCAGAAAAGGTTTATGATATCTGAATTGTCAAAGAATGACAGCTGTCATATTTCCGTGGGATTAAAAATCAGACTATAGTGGTCGAAATTTAATCTTGATAGGTTATTTGTTTTATTGATAACACTAAAACTCGTCAATAGCTACTAAACGAAAAAAAAAAACAAAATCGTTTAACAAACAGAGGAGAAAAAGGTACTGAACTGCTTTGTCAATACATTTTCGTGTAGTTATCAACATATGTATTCGTTATCAGCGCGTCGAGATCCATATCTTTACCAAAATTCAGATCAATCAGAGGTATGAGCTATTCGGAAGTGTACCCCAAGATTTCATAATATATATTCGCATTTTTGTCTGTTTTCATGTTGTTGTCGGCAACATGAGTGCCACTTGTCTTAACGGTAAAGGAAAACATCGTGAGGAAACCTCATGTTTGAGAGAACTTAGCAAGTTTTCAAAGGACATGCTCAGTCCGCCCGCACTTCGCCAGCGTGGTGGACTATGGCCTGATCCCCCTTGTACTGAAGGGAGGCCCACCCCCAGCAGTGGGATATTAAAAAAGCCTGAATACATACATATTTGTATTAAGTAAATTAATTGTCACTTTAAACAACGTATGGTAGTTTTCAAAACCTATAAAATGAACCCCAGCTAGAACATTTTGCTAGTAGCCATCGAAGAGTTCCACCATCCAGCATCCACCTTCTGGCACTTTTAAAACAATGGTATCAAGAAACAAAGTTTCAAACTGCTACAATAATTAGAAGTCGACTAAAATCAACTTAAAATATTTTATTATTTTATTAACAAATGATTAAAAACTTTTTGTTGTTAAAATAATAAGTGTTCTGTTATCTAATATTTCAAAAGATACAGCCATTTAAATATAAGCCCCATGGTCTGACATTAAGAAAGTTAAATAATATAAATATCCTATTGTATTCAGCCCCTTTTTACAGTCCCACAGCTGGGGGTGGGACTTAATGCTAGGGGGATTAGGCCATGGTCCACCACGCTAGCCAAGTTCGGGGCAGACTTCACATATCTTCACGTAAAGTAATCATATTGGATACAATTGACTCACCCTCGCTCCGCTCGAGTTCCTAATTACGTTTTAACGTTTAGCTCAGAGATGATATATTTTATTATTATGTTTATCCGGATAACCAGCTATAAATAATTGAAATATCAAATCAAATTTCATCAAAATCTGTCCAGTGGTTTTTTAGTGATGCGGTTACAGACAGATAAAAATTCTAAAAACTACAGATTCGGTCTCTGTATCGATAATAATGTCTATTTCAATAAGATTTTCTAAAAAAATATTTAATGTATTCACGCATGAAAATATCAGAGGTGCGAGACCCGGGATTTGAACCAACTTCACTTTTCGTTGCAAGCAAGCGCATTACCACTAAGCTACCACAATATAAACATATTATATTATTTCTAACGTATATATATTTATGGTAAAAAATCGCTACCGCTACCATTTTATACCACATAAGGGCATGTACAGTCGTGTGTATGTAAACATACCTTGATTTCCCAAATGAATTGCAGACCGCTAAACTTTGGCGTGACGGTGTTATGCAAGATTTACATGTTACGTATTCGATATCGTTGGCGTAAATACTATGGATAGTACGAGTACCTGTAATTAGAATACTATTTTGTTGTAAATTTTTATTTAGCGTGCGTCAGTCGTACTCTTGCTGACATCTTGTGAAGTCTCTGATTTAGTCGAAAGAATAATTTTTTTTCATTTATTTGAAGATGGTAGTTAAAATATAGCGATAAGAGGTTTTTACTTATTTCTATAAATAAAGCAGCCATTTTGCTTAAATATCAAAGAAGATTAAGTACCTTATTAAATTATATTATTTCAAATGAGAATTTGTGCGAGTGGAATGAACTTTTAAATAAACAGAAGGCAAAGCAATTTCATTAAACTGGTTTCAGTTAGAATAATATATTAATGTTCTAGGTTCTAGCTGTAATTTGATTCGTTTTATTGTAGTTGAAGAAAAAAAAACAGTTTATTTAAGCTTTGTCTAAAATGGAATAACATTAGTAACTTAAGTATCTTTTAGTATCCAGACACAAGTGCACTCTCTATTCCTGTCACTCTCATACTCCGGTGGGACGACATAAGACACGACCGACACGACCGACCGACACGACAGGTGAGAGTTAAGGTAAAGGACCAACAGTTTTACGTGGTTGTCACCATCGATTTCCTAACTCCGGGTTTCTATTTCAAATAAAACTATCTCATCGGATTTTTTCGCGGATTTGTTTAGATTCCGTGTCGGGCTAAAATAACTCACAAACTGTACTCAGAATCCGGATAATACTTTCTTAGGTTTATCAACAAATATTGTAAGGTTTTTTGCAACTTATGTGCCGTTTTTGGATTTTTGGAATCATTTTGTAAAATTGTGGTAAGGCACTGTCTGTAATAAGTATGTACTATATAATGAGTTTTGAGATGTTTAAAATCTTAGTCTCTCCCGTGACCATGATTGCTGTAAAGCATTCGAAACGTCGGGAACCAAAGATCCATATAAATTCGCGAAAAAATCCGAAAAGATAGTTTTATTTAAAATTTTATTTCAAATAATTAAACGTTTCATTGCTTCATTCTTGCGTAACATCATTCATTTACCACAAAGCGTTAGATGTACACGGCATAGAATTTAATGTGTTTTATTGGTTATACCTATCTACTAGTAATTTTATATGAAAAATATTAAAAAATAAAAATCTGTGTGTACCTATTGAAGCCACGTAAGAAGTTATAATTCTTTGGCGTAACAGAACAAAAATAGCTAAAGATTTCATCCCGTATGTCACAACTCTCTGTTTGTAAAAGGAATGCAGCTAACTTCATCATGTCGCTTTTTGGCTGTCGGTGTGCGCGCGTGTCGTAAAAATTTTACTTTCATATTTTTTTCCAAACGTCCCAAAAGAAGGATAATTTCAAAAAAAAGATTCCGGTGAATGGAACTTTCTCCTTTTTGGAAGTTGGTTAATAAATACTGTATAACATAAGGCGAAAGAGTTTTTTCGTATATTGAGCGCGGGCGTAGCCGCAGATTCTGTTAGTCTATTATACTAATATTATAAAGAGGTAAAGTT